AAATAAAAGTTAAAACTTCCCAGTTCCTATTATGTTTTGGTACTAATGCGACATGAAGTGAATTATACAATAGATACAACAAAAGAATCATGAAAATTCAAATGATAGTATTGGAATTACATTTATATCAGTTTATTAATCAAAGCAATCAGCATAAAAGATGCAGCAGACCATAAGCAATTGGAAAAGGTTGGGCCCAACTCCGATTCCAACTTTTCTTTGTCGCGCTTGATCGGAACTGAATATTTTATCTTAACTAAACACTAATATTTTATTGTTGATACTACAGCAGTTATATAGTACATGATTTATGCAACAGGATTATAGATATATTTTCTATCATCACTGGTATTTTCGAATGCAGCTAAAATATTATTTACAAAATATGTATTGTGTTAGCATTTTGTACAGTATCGTCGATAAAAAAGAATGCAGCCACCATTTCATGAATAACTTTTTTGGACAGAAAAGGGCTAGCGAACTGTGCTGCTCACGACGGGAAAAAAGCAACTCCACAGCTCCGGTAGTAGCAACCACATGAGTTCCAGTGAGCTTCAACCAGTTCCATTTTTTAGTTGCACTCTGCTCCGATGAGTTCTAGAGGGTTTTCTAGCGCTGTGTTTCATTTTACTTCGACCTTTTCGGCTGTGAACGTTTGTTTATCTGTTTGAATTATATCTTTCATCCTGCTCTTGGTAATTCTGATGGCAGACTTTGAATGTGTTTAAACTTATAATTCTCTTCGAAAAAGGAAATAATCGTTACTAAGAAATAAGTCTCAATACTCTAAACCAGGCAGTCTTTCTTTTGAAAACGAATTACAAATTTTTAGAGTAGAACTAGGCATAAAATGAGATACTCGATTCGTCTGCTCTTTTCTCCATATGTTTGAATATTTTTTTGTTGATTATTTATAAAGTTTGTTTGAAAATAAAGTATTGCAATGGAAGAAAAAGCAATGTACAAAGAAAACACGAACAAATATGTAATCAGGAAAAACATACGTTTATTTTATTACGCTTAAGCATTCATTCATTTCAAATTTATTTTTGTTTACTTGTTAATTGCACCCTTAGTAGTTGCTAGATGGTAGTTGAGTTTTATTATTTTTTAGAAGCCAACCAGCAGTTTGTTTGTGGATATATTTACATTTAGGATTTTTTCTGTTGTGAATTCGTTAATATCATCATCATTACATTTTGACGAATTTAATTGATCGAAACTTCTATTTTTATGATGGATAGGGAATTTAGTATAATAACCGTTATTTTTGTTACTCGATTCTTTTTAAGATTTTATAAGGTTCTTTTCGAATTCGATCAAGTTTTTGTGGAGAAAGTTTCAAAATACTAAAGACACCGAAACAAACAAAAAATTTGCATCATTTTAAGAAAATTTGAGATTTTGCCCCCTTGCGTTTACTTTGAATTTGACATATTAGGATTCCGCATCAAAAAGTGACTCTAATCATGTACCATTGAGTCACAAAAACCAAAATACCTGTGTTGCACATGTTCGACAAGAGTAAGCACTCGATAAAATAAACTACCTCTCTCGCAAACCTATCTCCTCCCTGGTTTTCAAACTTTTCTCCGATCGTCATACGCCATTCGAATCAGCATTTAAAGGCGAACAAAAGTACACATCGCTTTTCTTTCTAATATTCTTATCTTACTGAGAAGACTCTTTTTTCCCATACCTGGAGTGGAAAGGTGAAATTCTCCCGTAAATCTCGGTTTTTCTCACCAGACGTGATTTATTATGCAATATAAATATCATACTCGGAATCAGCGTGAAAAACTGGATCGAACGACGTAGATATCCATCCTTTTCGAGAATTTCATTGTTTGGTGCAGAAAACTTTTAAGCAAAAATATGATTTTCGAGTTTTTCGATAATGTAATCACATTTCTCAGACAAATTTAGCCATATCTTCAAGCTTTGAGCTTATCCTGTTGTTTTTTGAGTGAATTGTAAATGTTATAATATTAGGTAAATACAACCTGGAAATCTGGATTTTTGCCACACTTAGTTTTCAGCAGATCATTGAACTCTTTCTAAAATCAAATCTTGTCATTAGATTCTCCGTGGTCGACAACCCCTGTCTAAAGTCATTTATGAGGTTATAACATGTGAAAAAGATCAGTCCTTCAGCTCCCATGAAACCCGATGCCAAGCCCACACGATCGAAGATGAGAGTCCCGCTTGACTCCCATGTTGTAGCTTTATCACTATAGATTGAAATAGTCAGTAAACTCTGAAAGTTCGGTCGAGATCAACCTTACAGTGACCGAGATTGGGTTATGACACGAAAACATCTTAACAAAACCTTCAAAACATGTTTTCAATCTTTACATTTGTGTAGACGAATCTTATTGGAGACGTGGCAGAGCTCCGTATAGACTGGATTGGACTCAAACTTTTTGGATTTCATAGACTCGGACTGGACTGGACTCAAACTTTCAACATCATTGACTGGTCTGGACCAAATCGCACAAATCTTCTTAAGTGTCTCAAAACTGCGGTTAGAAAATAATGATTTTGGGCAAAATCGCTCAAAGAAAAGAAATCCTGCTACGATCGCTTGAGTCCACGAAGAGACTTATATGTAGCCAGTTGATAGAGCTTTTCGAGAACTACAAAATCGTCATTTTCTCTTACTTCATATCGTAAAATATAAGAGATTGAAATTGAAAAACGTGTTCTTTTGATTTGAAAGTAATCGATATTGAAGCTTTCCCGTCCGTACTTCTTTTATTTTTTTTCTCTTACACTATATAAAGTAATGTTCAATATGTTTGGTGTTGAGAATTGAATGAGGTTTCTTTTAAAAAACGATTGAGAGTTGTTGATCAACCTAGGCGGAGATATTGAGAAAATACTAAATGAGACAGGACTTCTGGACCACCTTTTATATGATTTTTAATACTCACTTTTTATTAGAGCATACAGAAGTATTAGATAATTAGCTGCTTTTGCCGCACTGAGCGATTTTTGATAAGAATACGGTGGTATATGCAGACTTTCCAGATGAATCCGACAACGCGTTCTTTGTAATTTCAGAGATGGGCAACTCCAACTCAGGAGCTGGAGTTAACTGCAGAGCTGGCACTTTTTTACTCGGAGTTGGAGTGGAGTTGAGTTGATATGAAGAGGAGTTGGAGTTGAATTTTGTAATTCTGAAATGGAGTTGGAGTGGAGTTGCCTTGACCGGGAGTGGAGTGCAGATGGAGTTGGAGTTGATACTAGTTTCCAACTCCGATTCAACTTCGACTGATCTCATGACTAGCAAAAGAACGACAAAAAAACTACATAGATGACCTTCAGTAAATGCACTGAAAGAGAGAAAGATAGAGATATAAAAAGAAAAAGAAATTTTACAAGGACCGGTTCTGCAGTCGAATGCTGATCATTTATTAAATCATTCTATCTGTTGCACGTGTGTTTGTCTATCTATACCTATCTATTCTTTGGTTATTATCAATCTGTCTACAAATGGATTCATCATCTAATACACCAACAGTCGATCTCACTCTTTCTTCATCTGATGTAGAAATGAGTTCACCAAAAAGTACCAAATCATCCCACACAATAAAAGCAAAGGTCGACATGGTCTCGAACAACATTATGATGATTTTAAGGAGTATAATGTTGGTGATCTGAAAGGTAAAACATCTGCAACATGTACTATATGTAAGGAAACGGTATGGCATTTAAAATCATCCACATCAAATTATAGCCGTCATCTTCAACGTAATCATCCAGCAGAATTCCAGCTGTGGTCAACAACAAATGCATCTAAGGAAAAAAAATCGGAGAATAAAATGCAGCAAGTCACCTTAGATACTATTTTATCTCCTACATCTCATACAATGAAATATGGTTTGGGTCATCTTCGTCAAATTGAATTAACTAAAATGGTATTCAATGATTTAGTGCTGGGATTAGATTTACCATTATCGATTACTGAAAAGCCTGCATTTGTTCGAGCTATGACAATATATTCTATCCTTATTGTTATCATACATGCGTGATAGACTTGACTTCTATTCCATAGTTGGCTTCGAAACACATACTCACTCCGGTAAACTTTTCTGACTGGGGAAAAGCTAAAGCAACTGCTTCTGCAAACTAAGGTGAAAAATATGGACGTTCTCATCGCAAAAAATATGCATCAATTCTGTAGTAACAAGATCGAGTTACAACAGAATGAATAATAATACCGACAGTACATTCATTCGAGCTACAGGCAATGGACTTAGTGAATCGATGCGATTCACGTTATTTATTCCATTGACTGTAAGTCAATGGTCATATAAAATAAAGTGTTTGTGTGTGTGTGTGTGTTTGTTTGTTCGCACAGAGGTGCGACGGACGTATGGTCATATGGCAGTGTGACGGACGTACATATATATGGTCACGTGTTAATGTTAACTCTTTTAGCTTCTTGAAAGTGGTACTTGACGATGCACTGGGTGATGCCATTTTTATATCTGTATCAGTAAAAATGTACAATTAAATATGGTATGATTTTTCGTGAATAGTTTTAGATAATGAATAGCAGAAAAACTGACACCGCGTACATTGTATCGACACGTTTCATACCTTATTTAGTACATCATCAGTCGAAAGACTTTTACAAATGATACATAGTATAGAATAAAAATGAATTGAAATAAAACAAGAGCACAGAACGACAAAACTTTTGCTGTATAGACTAGTCCAACAGCAAAACTTTTTATAAGAAAAATGTGTCTATTTTTCTCGATACATAAAATGTACGCGGTGTCAATTTTTCTGCTCTTCATTATTAGATGCTTTCATCGTACACGTTTCCACACCTGTAACTTTTAACTTTTTTCGATATTTTTAGTCTTCTACATATTTACCTTTCGATATTGCTCTCATCGACATCTTTATCTTTCGATATTTCTATCTTTCGACATTTTAATATTTCGTTATTTTTCCTTTCGACATTTTTATTTCGGTATTTTTACTTTCGATATTTATGTTTCCATCAAAGTGTAGGGAATCGATTAAAACACCTTTTTTAAGTATAATATTGCATTTTCACAAAAAAGTACAACTTTTTTTCGTAACCAAGGACATATTAGGATAGAATGTGAAATACTGCATCTCCTTTTGCACATTTCAGAAGGCGACAGAGTCAAATGCGAAGCAGTATCGCTCCAACAAGGGGATACACCACGATTTACCCACAATTTTGCTCGGAATTTTATTCTGCGAACTATGAACAACGGATCTGAATTTTTGCAAAAACACCTCTCGAAATTTCGACATGGGTACCGTCCGGCAGATTTCTCCTCCAAGACAACAGCCAGGAGCTCGGTTTGGTTTTAAAATCCAAAATGAAGTTAGAGTAACGATGAAAAAGAGCTAGAATTTTTATTTGTTTTATTTTCCGGAGGAGTTCATCTCAAAAGTTCGAAAAAATATCAAAAACTTGTGAATAAGTTTCTACTAGAGTGGCGCGTGCTACGGTGTGATGATAAAAGGTCCGTTTTCTCTCCCCAAGTAAATATGATTTTATGCTGTTCTTTAACAAACATGAACTTCCTAGGAGAATCACTCAGTCACTCTATAATCATCCAGCAGCAGTTAGCATACATAAACAAAATAGTACGTCGATGTCTAACAATGAATATGTCCAATTCTGAGTCGATTTGAATGCTGTGTTTAGCTTTAAAAAACATCAAGTGACATTCCTTGGTGAACGGGAGCCCGTTTTAAAAGGTCGCTCTACACAGAATACACCTCGTGAACTAAAAAAGTAGGATAAAATGTAGAAATGTACATTTTTTATTTTAGCTCATTAAAATGACAGCGTTTACCACAAATTGAAAGTGGCCATTGTTGGTCATAGAATGATTTGGATATTTTAAATTCGATTTGTTTGAACTAACTAAAGTTTTCTTTTACAATCGCTTTTTTGTTACAGAAAAGCGCTTGTAAAATAAAATGTATTTGGTCATAGAATGATTGATTAATAACATAAAAGTTTAAATTAAGCATTCACTCACTTATACGTTGAGAGTTGTACACGCACTTCATTCAGAACCTCCGATATTAAAACATTATGCAAATTGATTTGACTCATCACATAACCTTTTTTATTATTAATAATATTGTCATTAATATTGTCGAACTAGTCAAGAGCATAGATTCTCTAACCGATTTTCATAATTCGAATAGGTGAGTTGATTATATCGATATGTAACGTTTTATAGCACTCGTATTTTCTTGCATGTTCGCACTTTCAAAATATTTCTTACACATTTTTCCGTTCGATAATATGCAAGAATCAATAACAAGGACCATCGCTCTAACAAATAATTGATGAAAACAACATTTTGTATAACAAATTCAACTCCTTAGCGTAGTTAAGAAAAATATCAAATGTTGAACTGACCATACAGTTAAATGGTTTTGTTTTAGATGAGTTATCAAAAACTTTGCTAAATACCTTTGTTACCTTGCGTAGAATGAATATATTCTTGTTTTTATATGGATTTCACGACAGATAAGCATAGCTTAAAATATAACGTATTTATAGTAATCTTACTTTACTGTGGAGAATATAAACGATTACATGATGTGCAGGTTAAGCAGAGAATGAAAAGGACATTCTTTTTTTCATATACTTTCCCACTATCACACGTTATTTACCTGTATAATTATTATCAAAAGAATATTTTTTGAATAATACGTACATTCATGACATTTGATTATGATCAAAGAAGAAACTGATAATATGATTGTTCTAGTAGAGTTTTTGTGTATTTCACCTGTCAAATCAGATAGTCGTCAAATTTATCCTCGTCATGACTATGAGCATATCATCCACCTACAACGGTATATATAAGCTTCAAACCTTCGAACGAAAGTCAAACACAATTCAAAATGAGCCTCAAATATTTGGCTGTGATAATAATCCAATTGACAATCGTTGGTTTATCTTACCAAAGTAA